GATTTTTGAAAACTTCAAGTTTTTTAAACTTAAAAAATCTTTAAAATTAAGATTGTCAATACTATAAATAATTAATTATTAATATTAAATAAAAATAAATATAAAAAATAAATTTGAATTAAAATTATTCTTAGTTCTTAATCTTTCAAAATTTTCAAGATTTTTTAATTCTCAAGCTAAACTAATAATGATTCGAAACTTCAATCAGACATTTGAAATTGTTCGAAATTTTTGATAATCTATCACTATCTAGGATATAAATCTTTCTATAATGAAAAATGGGTACGAAAAAAACTCATAAGTCGTTTGTGATATTCTCTTCGCGATGAAAAAAACTACAAAAGACTGGGATGGGGTTTTCGTTCTATACAAATGATTTAATACTGCGAATACATATTTTAACATTGACGTCTCAAGGTATCGGTGGTATGTTTTTTGTTTCTCATTAACTACGCAGTCGACAGTACATCTATTTCTGCCTTTTCCTTCATGTTTTTTTTCATCTATTGTACAAGTCCTACAAGTTGTTTCTTCAACATGTACAAGAAATGATCCTATCTATCGTTATTGTGAATAATTTATTATGCAGCTTCGAAGAAAAAAAGTTACGTTATAAGAGAGACTCGTGTGACAATATATAACTGTATTTTATATACATTTTGCCTGTTTTATAAAGTTATTAAGCGATTTATTAAAAACTGTATTTTATATACATTTTGCCTGTTTTTTATAAAGAACATTTTTATTAAAACTTCGAAGTTGCACGAGAAAGATATTCTGGGCAATGTTATTAGATAATTTACCAGCTACATTCTGACCCTTCGCAATCGTTTAGACTGAGCTTATAGCCTATTGTTACCTCGCGTCGCAAAATTAATATATAATTAAGAAAAGGTTTCTTTTTTATTTAAGCCAACTAATGCTTAAACGATTATACAGCTTCATAACTAGTTTATATTTCCTATTAATTAGTCCTAATTAATTCCTACAAAACGCTGATGAATATACTTTTCTCTTGCCATTTTTATCGCTACATGCATGTACTATATCTTTTTTTTCTCTTTTTCTCATATATTTTTCCTACTATAAATTATTTTCTTGTATATATATATATGAGTGAATATTTTCCCTATCTGCTAAATATTTACGCGCAGATCTTCATAAAAAGGACGTAAATATACATTTAAACGATAATATGAGCTTTATAATAAATGGAGAAAGGGAGAAACTGGACGCAAGATTAGAAAAGAATAGGCGTATAAGCCTCTCACTGTGAACTAACTGATGACTTTTTTTCTCATTCTCTGTCCTGTATCCTGATTGTCCTGCCTGCCTGACCGACTTCCTGACAGTTTTTGAGTTTCTGCCTGTTCGTTGTCTTGTCTCTCTAGCCTGATAGCCTGCCTGCCTGCTCCGATACTAAACAGTACAGAAGTACTGACGACTAGAAGACAAGTAGTAGTAGGAGTAGTAGCTTCACCTGAGGTTCAAAAGTCAAGAAATCTGTTAGTTAAACTCTTTAGCCTGTGCAAAAGACCAATTGGGTCGTGAACAAGGCATTTCCGAATCTTGGGATCTTTTTAAGGCTGTAGATTTCTAAAGACATCACTTGGATTCCAAGAATTTTTTAATTTACATAATAGAGAAATATTTTACACTTTTGTTTTATTTCATTTCGAATTATATGGATATTTAAGAATATCAAATCATACACAATTAAGTTTCCTAAAAATTTTTCTAAAGATGTTTACTTTACTATTTTTATTATTTAACATTGTAACTACGGATGTGTGTGTGTGCGCGCGCGTGTGATTCTACATCCACATATTTCTAAATAAATTCTAAGTCCCAAAATTTTTAATGGAATTTTTAAATAAACAGATGCTACATTATTTTCAAATTTCTAAACAAGTTACAATTCTTGAATTTCTATGTTTTTGTTTTATTCAATTTTCAGATATGTAAATTTTTAAGAATCTGTAAGACTCATATGTTTTTAGAGTTTAAAACCAATTACAATGTTTTATATCTATTAAATCTAGATTTTTTTTGTGAAATTTAAGATCTATAACTATACTTGTGAATTTTGAGAAAGAATTTTTGAAACTTTTGAATTGTTTAAATTCTTAAAATCTGAAACCTTATTACATAACATCAATATTTCATTATATTAAACTTAGAATATTAAATTCCAAAAGACAAACTTCCTGGAAAATGTTTTATATCCAAACCGTTCTGTTGAAATTAAAAAAATAATACTTCATAATTTAACAAATCATTTTCTGTAAAGATCTAAAATAATTCTTTTCTACATTCTTGGATTCCTTAAATTCTCGATGCCTGATATCCTGAGATTCTTAAATCCTTGAGACCTTTAGAGGTCCTAATATACAAATTTGTGTAACAATAATAATTATAAGAATACTTGATATTAAATGAATTCCTTCAAGAAAATCTTGCCTTTTTATCATACTATAACAAAATATAAGAGCTAATCATCCTACGCATATGTATAAAATGAAAGAAATACTATTCTTTAATATATTGGATGAAATACCGTAAGATATGAGAAGTAAAAATAGATTATATCATTTTATTATTCTTACCTAAATTCTGATCTACACTTTCGAAAACGTGCTAATTGCAAAAATAAGAAAAAAAAGAACGCCACTTGGATTGCCAAATAATTGAGTTAATTATATAGTCACGCTAGAAAAATGATATAGCAAATATTGATATTAATAGAATAAACAACAATAGCTAAAAGATGTAATATTACATTCTAATTACATTGTTTGCACAAGCCCTAAAATTATGTGTGTATGCATATATATCAACAGTAAGACAATTATTATGTCTTCATATATAATAATAAGATAATTTTTTTAATGCTATTTTGCCTCTCAATAAATGTTTAATACATACATACATACACACACATATATGTATATATGTATGTACATTAGTTTCTAATAATGCTTAAATAATATGAGCAAGATTATGTAAACTAATAAGAATTAATTATAAGAATTAATTCCATAAAATTAAATAATTAATAAACTGATGCTTAAAATAAATTAATTTATACAGTTAAAATTATCCATTAAATATATAAATCAAAATTAATGGTATCATTTATAAATAATTAACAAAATAAAGAAAATAAAAAAATTATTTAATATCGCATATATCTGAATCAAATTCTATGAGAACTCAAATTTTGTAAGAAATAATTCGACATTTCTGAAATTTTGCAATTGCCATAAATTTTAACAAAATTTTGAAATAGTAAATCGATAACTATATTGAAATAATTATTGAGTTGCTTACCAGCGAGAAGGGTCAGCGATATGCTCAATGTTCTCTTAGTATCTCCTTCCACTGCCGCCGCCTCCACCGCCCCCCATGTTTCCACTTCCGAGAGAATTACCTCCATAACCACCTTGGTTACCATATCCACCACCGCCACCACCGGAATTTCCACCACCCATAGGACCTGCAGTATTATAAAAAAAAAACTACAGGTTAACAGAAACAAATGTTTTTAAGTTGTATGATGAAATAACGTAGTAACTGTGATATGAAGTACATAAAAAGACACACATAGTAATAAAAAAAAATAAAAGTCAAAAAATTTTGATATATTTTTTAATGTTAATAATTATGTAGATAACAGTTTGACAGAAAAAAGAATCAGAAGAAAAAATTATCATATTGAATTTCAAGAAGAAACCTTGTCCACTGAAGGGTGGTAACCATCTGGAGTCTCCAGATTGACGTCCACTAGGGCCCGAATTAATGCCATATGGTGCCGGTCTACCACCCGAATTGAAATTATTGCGCACTGGGCCACCGCCGTAACCCTGTTGATAACCGCCACCAAAGTTATCATTGCTCCAATTACCGCCACTGTTGTAGCCACCCTGTCCGCCTTGATTCCATCCACCTCCTTTAAAACGCAATAATTAGTATCTCTTTTAAATATTTCCATTGTTCGAAATAATGAAATACTGTTACGTTATTCCACTCTGCAGCAGAGAGAGTGTTTATTTTTTTTATCATTAGTGTAATAACATTAATAATTGTCAAATACTTTATAAAATTGTGTAACATTAAATGGAAATAATTTTATGTTATTGTGTTCATTTTTGTTGATGTTTTATGAAGCTTTGTTTCTTTATGTTTATTCTTTGCTTATTTCAGTAATTTTTTATCATTTCATATAACATTATTCTTTAGAATACAAAATCTCTGCGCTGCTACTTGACCCTGGCACGATATCTTAAAGAATCATCAATTAGATCAGTGCAAACGTTCTTACCGACAAAAATTAATATATCTATATATGTCTTAATACAACTTTATCGGCAGAAAATTTATGATTTTTGTAAATTAGCATCTCTGCATTAACAGTTGTGCACAACAAGCCATAGAGATGTCATAAAAAATATAACCTTACATTTATAGTATATTACGATAAAAAATGGAGCTAAATAAAGAGTATATTCGCCTCTGTCTTTAATATATAATGTATCGATCTTATTGTAATAAAAAGAATTGAAAAAATCGGCAAGAATTTTTACACTAATCTAATATAATCCAAAGCACATGATATACCGAGAGAAAAAACAACAATTATTTGTTAAATAAATTATTAATATTAGATTTGCTTGTGTGAGAAATTAATAGTTTTCAAATCCACTCACATATTTATAGCCTTTTTTTCTTTACACACTGAAATCAATTTCTCATAAGATTACTAAATACAATGACATCATCAATGCAAGGGTCAACTCAATTCTAAGAGGAATAAGAGAGAGAGAGAGAGAGAGAGAGGACAAATATCTTCTAACAAACCTTTACCTTGATTCTGATTCTCCCAAGGTCCATTACCCCCCCAACCTCCTTGATTACCTCCACCATATCCACCCTGATTACTGCCATTGTTCCAGTCACCACCACCGCCACCGCTGCCGCGTCCTCCCCAGCTACCACCGCCTTGATTACTACCACGGGGTCCTCTGCCTACACCTTGGCCACTGCGGCTGCCGCCACCACCACCACCACCACCACCACCGCCTCCAGAAGCAGATGCCATTTCTGCTCTGCTCAGAGCCTGCAATAAAAATTATCACATTAATAAAATTATAAACTATTCAGTCGATTCAATTTGGATTTGTAGAAAATGAAGAAACAAACTGTATAGAATATTTTATATCATATCGAATACGAAAACATTAAAATAAAATGTCACAAATTTGAAATATTTTGTGTGTGTGTATGTGTGTGCGCCGTTCGCGTAAAATATTAGAAAAGTTAGAAAAAGACACTAAAAGAATAAAAGATCGAATTTGTCTTGTAGAAATTCTTAATCAATCTGTATAATATTCTTCTTGAATAGAATTTTTGAAGATAAATTCTTTTCACCTTTTTGACATCAACGTGTTTGCCGCGAATCTGATGATTACGCTGTAGACAGATCTTGTCGACAGGATCATAGTCATCAAATTCGACGAAACCGAAGCCGCGTTTCTTGCCAGTCTCCTTATCAGTCACTATGCTGATCGAATTTATGCTACCATAACTTTGGAAATACTGTCTGAGATCTTCTTCCTCATGGTCATCCTTTAAACCACCAACGAAAAGTTTCTTTACAGTAGCCCCTGCTTCTGGCCGACCTATTTCTTGCCTAGGGACTGCTCTCTTGGGCTCAACTACTCTACCATCTACTCTGTGAGGCCTGAAAAATAGTTTAATTTGTTATCTATAAAGTGAACACATCTTCTTATAAAAAAATAATTTCTGCAAAGAAAAAAATGATATAAATTAATATGAGAATACAAGCAAGTCCTATATTACTAAATCAACATTTTTATATCTCATAAGATTAATTTTTCAATTTAGATCAAGTGTTTTTTATTTCTCTCTATAAATATTATACGTTTCTAACAATAAGATCTCAGACCTTTTCTTACAGTTCTACATAAATCTTTTTTTTACCTAGCATTCTGAGCATCATCTACCATATGAGCACGGGAATAAGTGATGAAACCGAAACCTCTTGAACGCTTGGTTTTGGGATCTTTCATAACCACCACATCTACAATCTCACCCCATTGTTCAAAATGCTTCTTAAGTGAATCATCTGTTGTTCTATAATCCAAGCCACCGATAAACAGTTTTCTAACATGTTCTGGCTCATTTTTACCATCCTGAAATATTTTTAATATTATAAATTATCACTGCTTAATCATACAAAATAAAATATCTTTAATTTGTTCTTTCAAAAGATTATTAGTGACAATAAAAGTCTAAGAAGAAAAATTAACAAGATATTAACATTGTTATAAAAATAAATATTATTTTTTATAAAACTGATTTTAATTTACTTGAATACAAATATTTATATATATATATATAGTTTATACATATAAATCTATTAAAGAATTAGGAGTAAAATCAAATTAAAAAATTTTAGAACAGTTAAAGCTTTTTCTGCTTAACACCATCATTAGTGAAATAAAGCTTACAGCATATTCCAACCGAATATAGCTGTATTAACAAAGCAATTGCTTCTTTTTTGTAATTTTCTGTTTACTTATTTAAATTCAATGTACTTATCTGACATTTGTATCATGGAATTGTTAATAGATTCCGATCGAAATTATTTAATTCCTAGATTTTAAATTATTTATTTCCTAGATATTAATTATCTTTAATTTAAATTCCGAGCAAAACTTGTTACGAATAATTCATACATATTCCCATAATACGCTTCATAATATGTATCCATAATATATTCCCAAACTTGCTTACAATTTGTTAGGCCAATTTTTACCAATGCAGATCAACTTCAATCTCAATTACTTATTCTTAATTTTTTTCTAATCCTTAGAATAAAAAAATGATAAAAAAGTAAGTTAAATCAAGATTAATGGATCTTTGATAAAAATGGACTTTAATCATTTTAGATTAATTTATTATAAAAATTCTGTTAAAATATTGACCATTAAATTCGAACACACAATTTCGTGTTTGAAAATATTTCACGAGATACATTACTTTTGATATTCGTAACGAGCATCGGAATGACGAACATTTTTCGACATTGTCGAAGTACAGTGAAATATTACAGGCTACGAGCGTCGGAATGAAAGCCGAAATGTTTCACGCTGAACGCCTAGCGATAAAGGAATGATTACATACAGCGAGACGAATACTCACATCATGCTCCATCTTCACCATTTTAACGGACTTAAGCGGAATCGAAGATCCCGTGAAACTTGTACGAGCAGAGTACAACGCGTGTCGATAGCAAACGGTGGAAGAAACGACGCTATCACGGCACGAACGATCGATTCCCAATTCCCTAATCCTTGCGCGCACTCATGTGAACCCCGAGCAAACTAGAGAACCTCTAGAGATGCGTTCCAAAACTTGACTCCATCTACTCCGAGTATCTTTTATCCTTGTTCAACATTCTGGGTGAGCAACAAGGATAAAATGAATTATGACTGACAAAGACGAATTTTGGAACGCAGCCTGGGTTGCGTTCCGAAATTCGAATCTGTCAACTCCGAGTATCTTTGTTCAACATTCGGCGAACAACAAAGATGAAAGATACTCAGAGTTGACAGAGTCGAGTTTTGGAACGCACCCCTGGAGATGTGCGTAGCTCGTCACATCAGTCAAGTTAATGATTGGGCGCGTTCAGCGGACTCAACAGTTGTTGAGTCAACGTATACTACGTTTACACGGTTCGATTTACGCAGAAGTTATAGAGCCCAAACACACACTTTTGCATAACGCATAAAGCATGTGCATGAGGAATTTCATTGGCCCATTTTCTTATGCATGGAGTCAATGAACCAATCAAATTCTTTATGTATATGGTTTATGCGTTATGCAAAAGTGTGTGTTTGGGCTCATGGCATCGATGTTATGAAAGTGGCCAATCCCAGTCATTCCATTCTTCAGACGAATAGCTATGATTGGCCAGTTCCATAACATCGATGTTATAACTTCGGTGTAAAGCGTGCCGTGTATACGTAGTAAATAGTGAGCACTCGTTGTTATTGGTGTATTCTTTTAGATCTAGGCTGCGGCGAGTTGCCACTACGAATGCTTTGAAGCGTTTCTTGATTGGTCAATTTATAAAATTCTTTCTTTTGATTGGTCAATCAAACGCTTCAAAGCATTCGTAGTGGCAACTCGACCGCACCCCTAATCAGAATTTTATATCTAGATACTGAGGCTGTGTTCCAAAATTGACTGCCATTACTGGATCTATAGTTTACGTCACGCGTACTATAGGTTTTCATTCCGGGCAGTCAATTTTGGAACATTCCCTATATAGTATCAAAATGAAAATTTAAAATAAATAAAATGTTTTTAAACTTTTTAACTTAATGATTAAATATCAAATTACTTTATTTTTATAATTTTTTAAAATTACCATTTTACTAGCCTTCATAAATTACTGACTAATTTACAGTGAATTATATATACCGAGTAAAAATTATCGTAAAATTTAGTCATTTTTATCTCTACTTGTAAGTCTTCTCAGCTAAGCGTCGGAGTGGGGACAGAGTAAAGAATAGGAAAAGGCGGATGCGAATACTCACGTTTATGTGGTGCTTTAATTTTCCCCTCAACAATTAATCCATACTTCATTTCGTGCCCTAAGTCGCTGTGAAGGCACAATATGTATTATCCAACATGATCGCTCAGCAAATAAAAATGGATTGAAATAGATTAAAATGGATTCAGATTTTTCAGAAATACACGCGCGACGGATTCATGAATGTTAAAATGAATCCTTTTCAATCCTGAAAACATTTTTATTTATTTATAGAAATTGCACGAAGCATATCTGTATGCCTTTCAATTCAAAAATAATGGGCGAGTTCAAGACAGCAAAGCTAGGTATGTATGTACGCTTGTTAAGCGATTAAATATAATTAGTTAGATCTATAAGTAACAACCTGCAATTATGTTTATTTGCTCGGCGAGCAGGCTAGCAACTTTTGTCAACTTGAACGTGCCCACTTTTTCAGTGCGACATGAATACTGTTCAATTCAAAATTTTGAATAGGAAACGCAGTTTTTCAATTCAATTGCATTCAATTGAATCCAATTGAATCCAAAAACAGTTTTCGCTGTTTAAAATACGCATTCGAATAGACAAAATGTCCAATCCATTTTAATCAATTCTCGTTTGCTGGGGCGGTAAGCACTGTAATCAACTGCGATTCGTTAATGTGGTTGGATCTTATCTTTGATTCTTCGCTGAATTTAGCAGCAGGAACCAAGAATTAAAAACACTGAGCGCCCGATGTATGACCTTACATATGCTATAAATTAACGACCAAAAGCAAGCAGAAATAGAAGACGGAAACATATCACGTATTATTCATCGTTTTGCAATTTCTTCTGTACATATATATAAGTGATAGATTTTGTCCTCTATATAATACGTATGTATATTTTCTAATTCTAATTAATAATTATCATACGATTAAGATTAATATAAATATACATATTATTTTATTAAATAATACTTTGAAACGGGAGCGATCAGTATTCCACGACATAAAAAATAAATTTCGAATTTATACGTGTATATTGATTATTTCTCTTACTTATCTCCTACTGCAGAACAATACCTTTAAAACTTTTTTCCATATAAATGTATGTGTTTGCGTGTGTGTCATACATAAGGAAAAAAATACATTAGCAAAAGTTCTGTAAACAGACTGGTAGAGAAACCGGCATTCTGTACATATACTTGCAATGGTATTTCAATTAATTGAAATTATACCGTATATGACTGTATCCGTTGGTATTAATTAAATTTTAATATATTAATATTAAATAAAATTAGTATATATGTATAAAAGGCACACAATGTGTTTGTGTACATTTGCATTTTGCGATGTTAAATATCGTTGCCAAATTTTATTTCAGGGAGCTTGTTATGGTTTTTGAAAATAACAATAAGTAACTGAATTTATACATATAGGCAATTTCAAGTAAACTAATTTGAGAAATCATACAATTATATAAGTATATATGTATAAGAATAACTTTTGGGCATCGCTTATATTCCAAAATAACAAATTTATTGTTTCGTTTATACGCTAAGCGTATACCAATAAAACGTAAATATTTCACGAGATGCGAAGAGTCTTTGACAAACTAGATATTGTAATATTTAATAGAGTATGCAGAAAGAAAATTGAGACCGGCCTTTTAGGCGCGCCGCCATTTTGAAAATTTCAAAATTGAAAACATCGTCGTAAACCGGTCTGACCGAAAAAAGAATATTCTTACGTGAAAGAGCGTTCAATTTTCTATAAAAAACCGTCTATATTTCATTTTCAAAATTGCCTTTTATGGCCTCTAACGACAAGCGAAAAGAGCACTGCGACGAGGAAGCCCAAAAATTGGGTGGCCGGTTTGGCATGGAATGCCTCATATATATATATATATATATATATATACACGATAATGTATGTTTACCTTGAAAAGGCGAACAGCAAATATTCCGCAACATAGAGATAGGAGTCCGATAAATTTGTACATATGCATTTTTTCAACTTTTCTTTCCACAAGTATATTACACACAACATATAAAAACATAAGGAAAGAAAATGAACAGATGCCGCTCTATAAAAGATGATAGGATCAAGAACTGAGTTTCTCTCTTTTTCTGTTTATACAATATAATTGTTTTTTTAATGTTCCTAAGATTTTTTATTACTTATTGAGTATTTTTTATTACTTATGGCAGATTAAATAGAGGAAAAATTTTGACTTTTTTAACTGTAGACTTAACAGAAATGAAGCACTACATACTTGTTCAGATTTAATATATTTTATGTAAAGGACCTTTCTAATATATTATATATTAGAAGATCGTTTATATATAAGAATCTCTCCTCTGTTATATTTAATCCTCTTTGGATTTGTCGATCGTTGGCTTGGTGGCGAATGCGATGATTTCAAAAATAACTACGGCGTCCGTAAATGATGATCGTATCTCGATTGAAACGGAACGGAACAAAGAAGTTAATATCTTGAAGCGATATGTGCTCGGATTTACGTAGTTGGCCAATCTTCAATTCACTAGAGCCGGAGTTCGTCTCCCACATTCATATGGTTTTTGTATATGGTAATTCGCTTTATTCCCTCCCTTTCTGAAGTAGTCATCTTGGTAATGTCTCCCTTTCAATTTAAAACAGGTAAGGGAAATGAAGCCTTAATCGTGACGAAGGACAAAATGGTATACGGTCTAGGTAAAAACATTAAAGGTTGTTTGGGGATCGGAGACCAAAATGCCACGCTAGAAATGAAAAAAGTAGTGGATCTTTGCGGGAAAAATATTAAGACGTTCGCATGTGGCATGGGACCTCATGTTTTGGCGCTCACAAAAGAGGGAGAGGTAAGAAGTTGCCAGTAGGTTGTAGATCAAATTGCAAGTTAATGTCTTTGCAGCATATTTCATTAGAATATCTGCATATTATAATTTCCATCTTTATCGAATATCCATAATTTTTACTGAATGAGAATTCATTGAGCGTTGAGTTTCACGCTGTAATCTTGTAAAATATATTATACAAAGAGTTAGATAATTAATATGCTTATATGTTTGTGCAAAAAGAAATTTGGATTGCTCTTGTTGTTCTCAGTTGTTCTTTATCAATGCATACAGTAATTCAGAAAAATTGTCAGAAATTTCACGATAAAATCGTGAAATAAAACTATTTTGTACGATTAAGTTAATAACAGCAATGTCTTCGAAAGGTATACGCTTGGGGCTCCAATTATTATGGCCAACTAGGGCATGGTGGAGTAGATTTCGGACCTACAAACGAGCCTAATGTAGTGAAAGAGGACATCATAGATATTGCATGTGGCAGTTACCATTCCGTCGTTCTAACCAAGGATTACAATAAAGTAAGTAAAATATTAAGATGCAGTAATGATATCCGTCTATTAATACAAGCTAGATAAATGATTTGATTTAGATTTACATGTGGGGAGATAATCAATACTTACAACTGGGTTATTTCCATTCTCAACGCTGTTCTTGTCAAAATGAAGAAAATTGTAATAGAAAATTCTTTTCTGTGGCTGGAATTAAATGTGAATTTTCACCCGAATTAACGTTCTTCAATGAGATGAAGATTGTCTATGTCTCCTGCGGCGAGACTTTTACCATTGTGATTATTGAAAATGGCAAAGTGTATAGTTGTGGCAACAATTGCGTCGGTCAGTTGGGGAGACCGAGTATTAAAAAAGTAGATCAGATCCTACGACAGGTCAATTTTTTGAATGATACAATATTCATAGGTAATTTTCGTCTTGATACAACAGTAAAAGACGAAGAGGATGATGAAAATGCAAAACGGATCGAAAATACATTAATGAACAATTGTTTCTCTTTTAGTCAAGGTAGTTTGCGGATTTGAGCATACGCTGGCGCTCACAGACGACAGAAAGATCTACGCTTGGGGCGGGAACAGTAACGGCCAGTTGGGAATCGGGAACAAACAAAAATCCAGTAAACCAATTTTGGTAAACTCATATATGTTTATCGTTTTCATAATAACAAGGAAACAAAGAAAAAAAAAGAAAACTAAAGTGAAGGTCATGAAATGATCAGTAGTTATATCATTATTAGGTCAAGTGTAAACTGCAACGGATAAAATGGATCGACATCGTAGCTTTGCCTGGCTATGCAATAAGCGTTGCTGTCAGCGAAGAAGGACGTGTCTATGTCTGGGGCGATTGCTGCAGTGAAAGCATCTTAACTCCAACCGCCACTTCGTTCTCAAATGTGCACGATGCAATTGCGTACTACGGGCCGAGAGTTATGCACAAACCGTTGGTTTTGTACATGAGCGAAGGGCCGAGCATATTAGAATCCTTGGAAGCTGCTTTCGATGAATCTGTATGTGTCATCATATTTCTGTTTTGCGAATATCTTATCATTCTCAAAATGTATTGAAAAAGGAAAAAATACCACTAAAACAGATTAGTATAGTTTTTTTCAGTTGAACTTCTTTACACAGTTCATCCTTTCCATCTTTTTTCTTCATGTTAAAATAAAAAGAAAGAAGATGAATTGTGTAAAAACTTATACATAGCTAAAAGGAACAAATGTCTAATTTTATTATTATAGTATCTATAATATATATTATGAATAATTATTATCAACACATTATTCCATTTATTACTATTGATTATATCGATTAAGATTTATCATTTCTTATTAAATTATAAACGATAATATATTTTTTTAATGTGGTTTAGTAATAAACAATAAAGGAATTAAAAATGAGCATATACACCACGACGCTGGATAGATTTACCGAAATTATATTGTATTTCGTATAGAATATTAAAACGAAATTTTTATTATTATATTAGTAAACGATTAATGTGACAATCATCGGTAAACGAAATCGGTAAATGCGCGCCTTACTGATGAGTCCAGTAATGGAAGCTGGGACGAACCGCCATATTTAAGTAATATTCTTCGCAATATATTAAATTAATTTTTCTTCGTTTACCGATGATGGTCATATTAAAGGACGAATCGTTTACTAATAATAATAAAAATTTCGTTTTAATATTCTACGAAATACAATATAATTTCGCTAAATATATCCAGCGTCGAGGTATATGCTCATTTTTAATTCCTTTATTGTTTATTAAATTATCTTATTTTAGTCATAGTGTTACTATAGCTTGAGTCTTAAAAAGAATGTCAAAAAACTTTTTGGCTTAACAAATTAATTGGTAGAACTGTGTAATATAATTTATTCTCGAATTTAATTGATAAATGTTACAAATATTTTACGTACCAATCTAATATTGTATAGATTTGTATAATTGCCTAATTATTTTTACTCTTTTTTATGATACAGTCTACGAGCGATCTCAAGATACAAGTGGAGGACCAATTTATCCACGTGCACAAAGCTATCTTAAAGATCCGCTCTGAGTACTTTAAAGCCATGTTTCAGCACAATTGGACAGAAAACAATCAAAAGTATAATCATTTAATAAAAAGTTAATGTTATTCATGTTCAAAATTTTTCAAGTTTTACCTATTTTATCGATGTTCTTCTCTCCGATAGTGTCATCAAACATGATTACTTTTCCTATGCAGTCTACAAAGCCTTCCTGAAGTACTTATATATCGATGTAATCGATTTACCTATAGAGGAGATATCAGGTCAGTTGAGTACACTATGTATGCAACCTTCGACCTGCTTTTACGATTGAAACAACATTTTTCATTACAGAACTTTTGGATCTGGCTGAGAGTTACTGCGAGAAAAAACTCAAGCATTCCTGCATTCAGATGATAAAGCAAGGAATTACTGCGTCAAATGTCGAATATTTTTATGGTATTGCGGAGAAGTATACTTTAGAGGTAGTAAAATACTGTCACCATTAGCACTTATTAACATTTCATTATTACAATATTATCTATTTATGCATATGTAATAATTGAATGTCGTTGTCAATTTTTTAGGAGCTACAAGAATTCTGCATCAAGTTCGCACTTATTAATCGTATCTCTTTACCTCAAAAACAACGCACACCTCGAATGAAGAAGAATGAAAGTCACTAGTATATGACTGTTCCTATATATAGATATATTCGCAATATATTTCATAATTTTATATGCTTACGAAACATTTCGATATTTTCTCTATTAAATTTCGCTATTAACATTTCCTGTAAGTAATAAATAAACACGACTGCGTTCAGTCACAATTAATGTGTTTCACGCTTTCTCATAAATAATTTGCACAAAAAATTCTTTCGTTGATCTCGGAGAATATAATCTTGTTATCTTTCAACTATACCTGAAATTATTTCAGAAATCGCATAAAGAAAGAAAATAATGTAAAAACGCCAAGAGAACTCTCGTGTTTTTTTTTTTACACCGATAATGCTGTAACCTACGCAACAAATTAATGTGTCGTGTCGAAATGTATTGCAAAAACTTTCAATCATTTCGTTTTCTTTTTATCATATGATATGATGAAGCGTATTGGTGTATATTTACCGTGAATCATAATCACGTTTGCTTTTCGCCAATTACCTTTATTACAACTGTTGTAAAATATAAATATTGCGAAATAAATGTTCTGTGTGATATTTACAATAAAGGTGTCTACATTTTTAAATATTTTATAGTCACTGCTGTGCTCTATTATGCTCTGTTTTTTGCTTGTATCTTTAGCCGCTCTTGTTCGATATTCTTTGAGCATGTTTGTTAAGATATATTGTAGCTGTGATGAATGATAAGAGCGGCGGTATAAACGAAACAATGAAGATAATGACATCGTATATGTAAGTGTTTGTTAAGAAAAACTGTCGTAACTAATTACTATATTCACTTCAAATAGACGTTTTAGTTTTAAACAATACAATGTTTATTTTAATGACTCAAATATAATATCTTTGAACAATCAAATTAAAGCTTAAATAAACCATTTGTATCACACATATTTTGCATACAACTCTGAATATGAATATAGAATATGTAACAATATCTGATATCACACATTTACAATAATAATAAATCTGTTACCTCAATCATCCGTATATCGCTCAAGATCTTACATATTAATTATTTAAATATTACGAATATCGTTCAGCGATGATGAGCTCACCATGGTCGCAGGAAAAAGAATAAGGTCTAAACATAAATCATGCGAATATAAACATTCTACTGTTTCAATATCTCTTTAATCCTGTTATCACCAACTTATTAATTCAAATAACTCTAAATCTAGTCATTTAAATTCTAGTTCATTGAAAAACTCTAGTCATTTAGAATAAATCTAGTCACTTTAAATAAAATTGAATAAACTTGAATTATTATTTTTAACAGTTCATATTCAAGCAGCACGCAAAATGTGACTTCACAGTTCGTCAGTAATAAATTCGGGTTAATGTGGTTAGATTTCTTATCTTTGATTCTTCGCTGAATTTAGGAGCAGGAACCAAGAATTAAAAACACTGAGCGTCCACTGTCTTTTTACATCTGCTATAAATTAACGACCAAGAACAAGCAGAATTATAGAAGACGTTCGGAAACATCGCATATTATTCATCGTTTTGCAATTTCTTCTATACATGTAAGATAGATTTTGTCCTCCATATAATACGTATGTATTTCTAATTCTAATTAATAATTATCATATGATTAAGATTAATATAAATAATATACATACTATTAAATAATACTTTGAAACAAGAGCGATCAGTATTCCGCGATATAGAAAATAAATTTCGAATCTATACGTGTATTAATTATTGTCTTATTTATCTCCTACTGCAGAACAATATGTTTAAAACTTTTTTCCATATAAATGTGTGTGTGTTGCGTGTGTGTCATCCATAAGGAAAAAAGTACATTAGCAAAAAGGCTGTTCTGTAAATAGACTGGTAGAGAAACCGGCATTCTGTACATATATACTTGCAATGGTATTTCGATCAATTGAAATTATACTGTATAACTGTATCCATTGGTATTAATTAAATTTTAATATATTAATATTAAATAAAATTAGTATGTATAAAAGTCACAATATGTTTGTGTACATTTGCATTTTGCGATGTTAAATATCGTAGCCAAATTTTATTTCAGGGAGTTTGTTATGGTTTTTGAAAATTACAAGTAATTGAATTTACTAGAATATTAAATATTCTAGTAAATTTAATTACTTGTAAATTTATACATATAGGCAATTTCAAGCAAACTAACTTGGGTAATCATACAATTATAAGTATAACTTTTTGGCATCGCTTATTCCAAAATAACAAATTTATTGTTTCGTTTATACGCTAAGGGTATACTAATAACACGTAATATTTTACGAAATGCGAAGAGTCATTGGCAAACTAGATAATATTTAATAGAGTATGCATATTGACATACATTATCTTGAGTATCATTTTGCAGTATTTAAAGGTAATATTTGTTTTCTGAATCATTCACTTTCAATTCAAGAAGACGATTTACCTAAGTTAATGCTAGAAGTACATATATTGCAAAAAATATAAGTTGAAATAACGAAAGATTAATTTTTATCGACATTCTTATATAATACTTTTTATCACTATACGACTATAAACGCACCCTTACTGCTCTTACTGACGAATAAATAAAAGTTAAAGTCATTGAGTTTGATTGAGGAAGACATTGCGATATATATGTATGTAAGAGATTTTGTCATAATTATAATATGTACATATATATTTTCAGAATTATCTCTTCATATTATATATATATATATATATATATATAATGTACGTTTACCTTGAAAAGGGAACAGCAGATATTCCGCAACATAGAGAGGAGTCTGATAAATTTGCACCTCCGTAATTTGACAGATGCATTTTTTCAACTGTTCTTTCCACATATTGTATGTATGCACCACATATAAACATAAGGAAAGAAAATGAACAGATGCCGCTCTGTAAAAGATGATAGGAAGAACTGAGTTTCTCTCTTTCTCTGTCCATGTAATTGTTTTTTTGTAATGTTCCATTTTTTATTACTTGTTGAGTATGGCAGATTATAAAATAAAAGAAAAATTTTGACTTTATTAATTGTAGACTTAACATAAATGAAGCACTTACATACTTGTTCAGATTTAATATATTATGTAAAGACCTTCTAATAATTATACATATTAGAAGAACGTGTTTATATAAGAATCTCTCCTCTGTTGTATTTAATCCTCTTTGGATTTGTGGATCGTTGGCTTGGTGGCAAATGCCGGTAGGGTTACCAACCGTACTATACATGTACTCTTTTCGAGGTCGGAAAACAGTGCACTATTATTGTGCTCTTTTCTTAAAAATAAGACAAAATTAAAAAAAATATTATTTAATTTTTATAAATTTATAATATAAGAGCACTCCGACGCCTCAGATTTGCTATTACCGAACGCAGCATTTGTCTTCTGATCCCTGAAAACAAAGATTTTTGATTGGATAACGAAAAAACGCCTCAAGTTAATGCGGCCCTCTGATTCGCGGCACTGAAGACTGTACATATATGTACGTTTGTATATAACTCTTTTTCTGCAGCCTGCTGCAGCTTTGGGTTGGTAACCCTACGAATGGGATGATTTCAAAATTAACTACGGCGTCCGTACATGGTGATCAATGGTGATCGTATTTCGATTGAAAACGGAACGAAACAAATAAGTATCTTGAAGCGATATGTACTCGGATTTACGTAGTTGGCCAATCTTCAATTCACTGGAGCCGAAGTTCGTCTCCCAGATTCATATGGTTTTCGTATATGGTAATTCGCTTTATTCCCGCCCTTTCAGTAGTCTTCTTGGTAATAATGTCTCCCTTTCAATTTAAAACAGGTAAGTTGGGAAATGAAGCCCTAATCGTGACGAAGGACAAAATGGTATACGGCTTAGGTAACAACGTTAACGGTTGTTTGGGGATCGGAGACGAAAACTCCACGCTAGAATTGAAAAAAGTAGAGGCTCTGTGCGGGAAAGATATAAAGACGTTCGCGTGTGGCATCGGACCTCATGTTTTGGCGCTCACAAAAGAGGGAGAGGTAAGACTTCGCCAGTAAAGGTTGTAGACCAAAGTACAAGTTAATGTCTTTGCAGCATTTCATTAGAATATCTGCATATATAGGCTGGATTCGGGGAGACACTATTAGCGCTATTTGTTTCATTTTATCTTCGTCGTCCATTAGACGTGAGACAAGGACAGTACCACACAATGGCGCTAATAGCGCGATGGCAGAACGCAGCCATAATTTCCATCTTTTTCGAATTACCCATAATTTTTACTAAATGAGAACTTATTGAGCATTGAGATTACAGAATCTTGTAAAATATATTGTACAAAGTTACATAATTAATATGCTTATAAAGAGCATAAGTAATTCAGAAAAATTGTCAGAAATTTCATGATAAAATCGTGAAATAAAGCTGTTTTGTAAGATTAAGTTACTAACAGCAATGTCTTCGAAAGGTATACTCTTGGGGCAGCAACCATTGTGGCCAACTAGGGCATGGTAGTATAATAGATAACGCGCCTATGCTAAACGTACCTATTCTAGTAAAAGAGGACATCATAGATATTGCATGTGGCAGTTCTCATTCCACCGTTTTAACCAAGGATTGCAAAGTAAGTAAAATATTAAGATAAAGTAATGATATCCGTCTATTAATACAAGCTAGATAAATGATTTGATTTAGATTTACATGTGGGGAGATAATCAATACTTACAACTGGGTTTCCTCAATTCTCAACACTATTCTGATGAATATAACAATTATTATAATGGAAGATTCTATACTACATCTCAACTTACATTTAGAGCTATACCTGTATTACTGGAGTTAATCAATGAGATGAAGGTTGTCTGTGTTTCCTGCGGTGGGACTTTTACCATTGTGATTACTGAAAATGGCAAAGTGTATAGTTGTGGCAACAATAGCGTCGGTCAGTTGGGGAGACCGAGTAATAAAAATATAGATGAGTTGCGACAAGTCGATTCTTTGAATGACAAAGCATTCACAGGTAATCGTCTTGGTACAACAGTAAAAGACGAAGAGGATGATGAAAATGCAAAACGGATCGAAAATACATCATTGAACAATTGTTTCTCTTCTAGTCATCAAGGTAGTTTGTGGATTTGAACATACGCTGGCACTCACAGACGACAGACAGATCTATGCTTGGGGCGGGAACAATAACGGCCAATTGGGAATCGGGAACCAAAACGATTCCACTAAACCAATTTTGGTAAACTCGTATATGTTTATTGTTTTCATAATAACAAGGAAACAAAAAAAAGGAAACTAAAGTGAAGGTCATGAAATGATCAGTAGTTATTCCAATAGGTCGAGTGTGAACTGCAACGGATAAAATGGATTGACATTGTAGCTTTGTCTTGCTATAACATAAGCGTTGCTGTCAGCGAAGAAGGATGTGTCTATGTCTGGGGCGATTGCCGCGGTGAAAGCATCTTAACACCAACCGCCACTTCGTTCTCAAACGTACACGATGCAATTGCGTACTATGGGCCGAGCGTTATGCACAAACCGTTGGTTTTATACATGAGCGAAGGGCCGAGCATATTAGAATCCTTGAAAGCTTCTTTCGATGAATCTGTATGTATCATCATACCTCTGTTTTGCGAATATCTTGCATTCTCTAAATATATTGAAAAAGGAAAAAATACTAGTAAAAACAGATTAGTATAGTTTCTTTCAGTTGAACTTCTTTACAGTTCATCTTTTCCATGTTTTTTCTTCATGTTAGAATAAAAAGAAAAAAGATGAATTGTGTAAGACGTATACATAGCTAAAAGGAACACGTGTCTAATTTTACTATTATAGTATCTATATATGATATATTATGAATAAAATTATTATCAACACATTATTCCATTTATTACTATTTATTATATGGATTAATATTTATCATTTCTTATTGAATTATCTTATTTTAGTCATAGTGTTATTAGCTTGAGTCTTAAAAAGAATGTCAAAAAACTTTCTGGCTGAACAAATTAATTGGTAGAACTGTAATTTAGTTTATTCTTGAATTTAATTGATAAATGCTACAAATATTTTATGTACCAATCTAATATTGTATAGATTTGTATACAATGCCTAATGATTTTTACTCTTTTTTGTGATACAGTCTACGAGCGATCTCAAGATACAAGTGGAGGACCAATTTATCCACGTGCACAAAGCTATCTTAATGATCCGCTCCGAGTACTTCAAAAACATGTTTCAGCACGATTGGATAGAAAACAATCAAAAGTATAATCATTTAATAAAAAGTCAATGTTATTTATGTTCAACATTTTTCAAGTTTTACTTATTTCATCGATGTTCTTCTCTCCGATAGTGTCATCAAACATGATCAGTTTTCCTATGCAGTTTACAAAGCCTTCCTAAAGTATTTATATATCGATGCAATCGATTTACCTATAGAGGAGGTATCAGGTAGGTTGAGTACACTATGTATGCAACTTTCGACCTGCTCTTACGATTGAAACAACATTTTTCGTTACAGATCTTTTGGATCTGGCTGAGAGTTACTGCGAGAAAAGTCTCAAGCATTCCTGCATTCAGATGATAAAGCAAGGAATTACTGCATCCAATGTTGAATATTTTCATGGTATTGCATTGAAGTATGCTTTAGAGGTAGTAAAACACTGTCACTATTAGCACTTATTAACATTTCATTACAATGTTATCTATTTATGCATATGTAATAATTAAATGTCGTTGTCAATTTTTTAGGAGCTACAAGAATTCTGCATCAAGTTTGCTCTTATTAATCACACGTCAGCTTTGATGCTTCGCCAAGATGATTTCGCCAAGCAGGTCCAGAATATAATAAAAATATTTATAATGAAGGCATGCGAAGTTAATAACTTTAATTCTATCTCTTTATCTTAAAGACAACGCACACCTCAAGTGAAGAATGAAAGTCACTAATATATGACTGTTACTATAGATGTATTCGCAATATATTTCATAATTTTATATGTTTACAAAATATTTCGATATTTTCTCTATTAGATTTCGCTATTAGTATTTCCTGTTACTAGTATATGACTGTTACTATAGATATATTCGCAATATATTTCATAATTTTGTATGCTTACGAAATATTTCGATATTTTCTCTATTAAATTTCGCTATTAGCATTTCCTGTAAGTAATAAATAAACACGACTGTGTTCAGTCACAATCTGTTTCACGCTTTCTCATAAATAATTTGCACAAAAAATTCTTTCGTCGATCTCGGAGAATATAATCTTGTTATCTTTCAAGTATACCTGAAATTTCAGAAATCGCATAAAGAAAAAAAACGTAAAAACACCAAGAAAACTCTCGTGTTTTTTTTTTTTATACCGATAACGCTGTAATCTACGCAACAAATTAATCTGTCGTGTCGGACTGTATTGCAAAAATTTTCAATTATTTCGTTTTCTTTTTATCATAGCTATGATGAAGCGTTATTGATGTATATTTACCGTGAATCATAATCACGTTTGCTTTTCGCCAATTATACCTTTACTATACTGTTGTAAAATATAAATATTGCGAAATAAATGTTCTGTATGATATTTACATTAAAGGTGTCTACATTTTTAAAGATATTTTATAGTCACTGCTGTGCTCTATTATGCTCTGTTTTTTTGCTTGTATCTTTAGCAGCTCTTGTTCGATATTCTTGGAGCATGTTTGTTAAGATATATTGTAGCTATGATGAATGATAAGAGCGGCGGTAATAACGAAACAATGAAGATAATTACATCGTATATGTAAATGTTCATATTCAAGCAGCACGTGAAATGTGTCTTCACAGTTGGTCAGCAATAAAAGTATATGTATATCGTGCGCGCGAAAAGAAAGAATTTAAATTTTTACGTTCTCATCGATTATATATAGTACTGTCCAGAGAGAGCGAGAGAGAGATCTTTGTTCTGCAACTTATAGTTACAATATTGTTATAATGTTGTTGAGTAGATTTTATATGTGAAAAAAAACTACTGAACGATGTAATCATTGGCATTATCATTTTTTTTTTTTTTTAAGATCACTTTCAAGGAAACTTTATCTCGGTTAACAGCTAGAAATATACTGTCATCACTCTATAAATCTGCAAAAAAAAAAAAAGATTATTTTGGATGAAAGATAAAATTAATTTTTGACATTCTTACAGCTTTTATCACTGTTCGAATATGACGTTCTTATTGACAAGAATAAGACTTGTGTAATTGATCTAAATCGCTCTTATTGACAACAAGCGAGTAAAAATTGAATTTCGATTGAGAAAGGCATCGCACGTTGTTCATCATTTGATTTCGATATCTTGTATAGGGTAAAGTCGCCTATTATGGGATAGGTTCCCAATATGAGATAGCAGGATTTCTGCTAAACTAATAAACGCATATGGTTGGTTTTGTTATGAACTTATTATTCAGAGTGAAATATATTTAAATATATTTAGAAACTCATTATCAGTTAGATTATACGTGTAGTAGTTGTAAAAAAAAATTTTGAAATTGGATGTTGTCGAATTTTATTGAGGTTAATCTTCAGACCTTGTTTTATTATATAATATAATAAATGAATGTTTGGTAATATTGTCTGTATGCAGTGACAAAGTAAGATCTAATTGTTATTAATAGGAAAATGCCAGATATGATGAAGATATATTGTATGTATTATAATATTGTATTCTTATATATTATGTTATATAGTTATATTACATTATATTATATTATCATGATATTATGAGTACTCGCGAAGAAAAGAAATGATAATTATGATTTCAAGGTACTTATTTAACACTTTTATATCATAGCTTTATTGTAATTTTAATTCACTTTAATATGCACATACAATATAAGTAATTTATCATTATATTAACAATTTTTTAAATTTATTGCATATATATTTGTTGGTATAACCTCAACTTTTTCTACAATTTCGAATAAAGAACTGTCAAGTTCTTGGAGAAAACCTGGACCTACGTAATATTTTCAGATTATTTTATTTTGTATAATAAAAGCAAGTACAGGAAGATTTTCTTTATTTTTTTCTTCAATTTTCTATTATGAGACACCATCTCATATAAAGAAACCCTTATTATGACTCATATTAGGAACCCTTTTTTTTGAATGAGCAAATAAATAGGCACTTTAGATTAAAAATTTCACATACAATAAAGTATAGCTACTATCAATTGCTAACTTTTGGAGATAAATCTTGAATATTTCTTATACAATTGACATAAAAATAGGAGTTAAGATTGCAAATAATTTGCAACCTTAACTCCTCACCTCCAAAAGTAATATTGATCAATATTGACATTTCAATAAGGTACATATGTTATCTATCTATACGCATGCAATAATTGAATACTGTTGGCAATTTTTTAGGAGCTAAAAGATTTATGTATCAAGTTTACCAATAATCACTTGACAGCTGTGACGTAGACGGTAAATTTCGTTAAGCTGAACCGAGATACGATGAAAGCTTTTATAATTGAAGCGGGAAAGACTGATGGTTTTAGGAAGTAATTAAGTAAGTCTATTTTCCTCAAAACTGCTCCTCATTAATAAGTGTTGAACAAAAATCATTGGTATGTCTGTATTACTACATGAATATTTGTAATACATTTTATAATTTCTGACGAAATATTCCTACAATTCTTTTCCTGAATTATAATGCGCTATTAGCATTTTGTGATATAAATAATAAATACTATTATATATATGTACATATATAGCTGTTTTCATAATATAAATACATTACTCAACAAAATTAAAGCATCACCTGTTCCATCCTGCAAAAATAGGCAAATTTCAAGATAAAAGAACTTTGTCAAAAATCATAGTATCGAAATATTTAAAAAAGTATTGTAAAGCTTGAAATCTTTACTTTTGAGACCGGTACTTCAAAAAACGGTATTACTGATATTTCGTGAAGTTACATAAACATAAATGAAGATGCGTCAAATCGTTAAAATTTTTTACGAAATTTGAGAAGTTCCACTACGCGAACGTCGCGAACTAAAAATTGTGCACAAATGTAGTTTATAGCTTTCGAAAGATTAAATCTTTACCTTCAATTTGCTTTTTTCTGATCTTTGTACGACTTTTTTTTTCACCGAGTTATTTAATGTTAAAATAAAAGAGGTCATTTTTACTTCAACGTTAAATAACTCGGTGAAAAAAAGCAAATTAAAGGTAAAGATTCAGGCCCGTATTCAGAACGCGCTTACAACGATGTTAGCGCTCTAACATGCTGTAGTTTATATTATGCATACTATAGAATTTTAAAGATAAAAGCGCGCTGTTATCAATAAAAACGCGTTCTGAATACGGATCTCAATCTTTCGAAAGCTGTAAACTGCATTTGTGTACAATTTTTAATTTGCGCCGTGCAACCTCAAATTCAGTATACAATTTTAAGATTTGATGCATCTTTATTTTTGTTTGTATAACTTCATGAAATATCGGCAAGACCGTTTCTTAAATAACTTAACTAACTGTTTTAAAAAATACAGATTTTAAGCTTTAAAATGCTTTTTTAAACATCTCGATACGATGATTTTTAACGAAGTTATTCTATCTCGAAGTTTGCCTATTTCTAAGTGGAACAGGTGATGTTTTAATTTTGTTGAGTAGTGTAAATGTAGCCGTTTCGTATACCTATTGATATATGGAACTTACAATTTTTACTGATTTCGGCCTATAAGAAAAGATTGGCAAAGATACTGTGGTTTGCCATCGCCTTTGGAGGGAAAAGAAATAGAATCTGATGTGTATTTTGAACCTGGATCTTTAGCACTTTAAAAATCGATATCTAACTGATTGCCAAATTTTCATTTCAACAACAAATTTTATTATTATTTGTGATCATCTATCACATAGAATCCGATACAAATCAAATACAATCTTTTCTTTTATATCCATTACAGGGTGATTCAAAATATCCTTTTGTTCTAAAAGAGACATTTCTGGCCGTATTCTGAGATGATTTTTTGTCCGAAGCTTAGTTTTTAAATCACATAAAGAAATAGCGTATCACAAGTCGAGTACGGAAGGTAAGCAGGGGTGGTGCGCTCATCGATGCATGCGGAACCTTACGCGCTCGCGGTATTAGATCAACAGTCACATGATAGTACACACGCCTATAGTAATACATTCGAATTCTCTCTTTTTTTTCCTCTCACGCGTACGCGCACCCGCACGCACACACGCACGCACACACATCTACACATTTTAAATATGTTTAGTAATAGTTTAACTTGAATCTGATATATCTGCATAAAATGTTACATTTGTCATAGAAATTTATTGCAATAAATTTCTGTTTTGAACAATAATCCGATGTAAAATTGTTCTTCTTTTTCCAGAAGCTAGAGAATCAAATTATCGAATCTCTACAATGTTTAATAGTTCATAATTTTTAATGCGTAATTGACTTTAATTTCCATATTATTATTAACTGATTCAGTATCAAAAAGCACAGGGCCGTTTCTCACAAATGTTACATCAGTTTCTTAAAACGCGATTTGTAAACACTTATGTCGACTATTCGCATTATTATTTTGTCTAATTTTACATTTGTACTAATAAAAAATTCTTTACCACTTAACTTTTATTAGAATTATACAAGACAACAAATGCTTCGATATCATTTTCAAGTTAGTCTCTCAGAGAGAGGAGGGGATTCGAATGCATTATCTTTTAGGCTGCATTTATTTTAATTGAATGTATATGCTCGTACCTCTCTCTCTCTCTTTCTCTCATGGTAAAATAATATTTCTAACATTATCATAGGAACGAAGTGTTATCATCCGTAGCTGATTCATATTAATCACGATTATCATAGCTATACTGAAAATGAGACAGAACATAATATACTCATTAAAACGTGATGCTTTTCAAACGTTAAAGAATTACAAAACTTGTTTTTAAAGTTATATATAAACACAACTTTTGCATTACATAACTTGATCTGTTAATTTTTTATTCAATCCATTTTTTTAAAAAAGCACAAATTTGTTTCTCCTTCCTCCTAACTTAATATATATATATAAACTTAAAAGGATACTGGAGCCGCTTATATTACCGATAAAACTAACGTTTTTGATGTTTTCGTTCCTGTTTAATTTCTTCGTAATAGTTTCGCTAATGTACTTGCCCCTGGTGTATTTTGTGCCCAAAGCTGGAAAAAGTATGAAATCATAAATTTCTTTATCCATTTAATCTCAGTATGGCAACCAATACTGATAATAATAGATAAAGAAATCTGAGAAATCTGCAATTTCATATTTTTTCCAGCTTGGACACAATATAGACCAGGGGCAGATACATTAGCATGAATATTTAAGTTGTGGAAAAGAAATTTCTATTTTGCGAAACTATTATGAAGAGATTAGACAGGAACGAAAACGTTAAAAACGTTAGTTTCATCGATAATACAAGCAGGTCCAATATCACCTTAAGAATAGAGCAACAAAAAATGAATATCATATACGTTCTTAATAATATAATTAGCAACATGAGAGCATATACAAAATAATACATTCAGGAAACATCATCACAATTTAATCCTATTATGAATTCTTACGTGTACCTAAAAATGTCTATATTTCATATATACATAAAATGTATATGTGAGTGTATATATTTGAGTCTGTATGTGTGTAATGTAAGAAAAATCTATTGCTAGCAAAGCTTGCTCAGTCATGCTTAAATTAAAGATGTTTATTCCAAAAAGATCCGAATGTATTCAAATTTAACTATTCTTGTGTACCCCTTGATTAGTAATTAGTATGGATTTCAATAAACACGTTAATGTATCTACATATCTACAGAATATCTGTTTCACAATTGGAACATGGAAAGCATGTGTAAATATAGTATATTACTCTTAATTCCTTACACATTTGTATATAATATATTACAAACATACACACATATACGCGTGTGTTTAATACTTTAAGCTTTCACGTTAGATAGTCAAAAATTTTCGCAAATTTTTTTTGCTACATGACAAACTCATAAAGTAAAAAGAAAATTACCCTTTTTTTAGCTTGTAGTTTTCTAAAAATTATCAAATTCACATGAACTAAAAAGATTATAAAAATCTTTTGAAATATATACATATATAGACACCTTCATAAATAAATGAACAAAATTTACATTAAAAAAAAATATTAAAGCTTTGCCTATATATATATATATATAGTTTTGAGCTAACAAAAACCACGAAACTTTTCCTCTAACACAATAAATTTGTGCGTATATGCGCATAAATTCAGAATTGCGTCAATAAATATAGCACAACATACTAATATAATAATATACTATATTTGTACATCGTATTAAGAATTAATATTTGGACATGAGTCTCGAATATATTTTCGGAAAACTCAACTTCCAACATAGTTAACGTGACATTATACAGGGTTGCCACAAATTTTTAATCGTAAAATTTCCTGACGTTTCCCTGATTAACTGACAAAATTTTGAGATTTTTCCTAACTTTGAATAATACATATTTTGCAATGTTTCTTGTATTTTTATCATAATATGGAAAATGTTAAACAAGGTAATAGTACACTAGCATTGCAAGATCACGGCAAATCATAAAGGTAAAGAATTATCGAGCGAGTTGGCTTGAAGAACGAAGCGGAATGATTTTATCAATGATTTCGATCAATTGTGGCGCCGTAATATAAATAAATTTCTTCACAGCTATTTTATTTTTCCTGACAAGTGTGCTAAATCTCTGACTTTTCCTGATTTCACTGACGCATTTTTAAATTCCCTGACATTTCCCTTGCTTGTGGCAATCCTGTTATAGAATAATCTCACGATTTATAGCGAAGCAATCACGTGATTCATAGATACGACATGACAACGATCAGAGTGATGTGTAAATTTTAAGCTACTGATGCACTGGTTTTGGTCACGTGGTTTCTGATATTTTTCTGGAGCGACTCTTCTTGTGCTTAGCCGATTCCGTTATTGCGCCGTCATTATCCGACGCAGATGATTCCTTGACCGATTTTCGACCACGGCCGACGTTTCTCTCTTCGTTTTCCGAACCTAGCGATTCTCGATTCGATTTCCGACGCTGACGTTGCAGTGGCTGATTTTGCGCCTCCATCGTTTCGCGCAGATGTTTTCTCTTCGCATCCCAAAATATTTGTTGTCGCTGGACGATTTCGGAATGTCTACGAATACGAACACGATTAATGCTAATTTCTAATGTAATTTTAATAATGACGGGTTCAATGAAAAAATACAGAATTGTATAAAATCATATAGAATTGGAAATACTTGAAATCAATTGAAAAGGACATTGGAATAGCAAAATATTTGTTGAAGAACGTTAGATTTGGCTTAGATTTTCTAAAAAAAAGTTAACGAATTGTATCACCTTTTGCAGAAATCCCAATTGGGTGGCTCTTTTAGTTTCCAACCTTTTCCTGATTCGTATGTTCCAAGCTCCGCAAAAATCTGATTAATTTCTTCTGATGGCAACTTGATGACAGACGAGATCGATTTGCGATTAAGATACTGTTGTTCAGTAAATAATAACAACTAAAAGAAATACAAAAAACATTATATATGTATACTTTTCTTTGTATATTTAAAATTGTAGTTGAGCTTCTTTAACTTTCTTGAGTAACTTTTGCAAGTAAACAAATTTGATTGCATAGATGTCTCAGGAAAAATATAAACAATATTCAATAAACGGCTTTACAAAATTAAATGAAATAATAATCAAAATTGATATAAAAAAGTAGTTGGAGTCTAGGGTATGTTAAGTTAGCACCCCAACTATAGTACTCAGGAGTTCTGATTAGAGTTCCCACTTCCTTTTGACGAGACGAAGAGTTCCCTATAGTTAATAACAAGAGTTCCGCTCAATAAACATTTTTTTAAAATGGGGTGCTAATTTTTTATCGAATTTCGAGGTGGAATAGTTCTGAGCGGCTTAATAGCTTCAATTTGCAATTGCTTAGAGTTCCTGATATGTAAAAAAAATTTTCGAATAATAAAAAAAAAATTAAAAATTTTTGAAGAATTAATTTTTAGATACAATAGTTCTGATGATAATTCCTGCTTCTTTTTTGACAATACGAAGAGTTTTCTATGATTTTTAATGACATATGCGCTTAATAATCATTTTTTAAAAATGGGGTGCTAACTTTTTAACGAAATTCAAGGTCGCATAGTTCTGATCAGCTTAACAGAACTATTTTGTCAATACCTAGAGTTCTTGATACATAAAAAACATTTTTGAAATATAATAAAGTTTAGAAAAAATAGTGGAAATCTTTGAAAATTTTTTTTAGAGTACCGAATAGTTCTGAGTAGCGTTTCTTATAGTACTCGACGAGTTCTATCAAAAACTGTAAGGTGAAGAAGCGATTGGACCAACGGTTTGCAAGATACAGCGACATTTATCGGAAGATCAACAATTCTTAGAGTGAGTATATCTCGGAAACCGTTGGTCCAATCGCTTTGAGCCCTGATACTTTTCGACAGAACTCGCCGAGAACTGTCCAAAACTCCGATCAGAACTACTCGGTACTCTCAAAAAATTTTTGATCAAAAATTTTTTTCTATGTCCCACGTCGGAAAATTTGTTGAGAGTACCGAGTAGTTCTGAGTAGCGTTTCTTATAATTCTCGACGAGTTCTATCGAAAATTGTAAGGTGAAAAAGCGATTGGACCAACGATTTGCAAGATACAGCGACATTTGTCAGAAGATCAACAATTTTTTCGCTTTTCCCCCTTACAGTTTTCGATAGAACTCGTCAAGTACTATAAGAAACGCAACTCAGAACTACTCGGTACTCCCAAAAAATTTTTACTTCAAATTTTTTTCTAAGTCCCACGTCGGAAAATTTGTTGAGAGTACCGAGTAGTTCTGAGTAGCGTTTCTTATAATTCTCGACGAGTTCTATCGAAAACTGTAAGGGGGAAAAGCGAAAAAATTGTTGATCTTCTGACAAATGTCGCTGTATCTTGCAAACCGTTGGTCCAATCGCTTCACCTTACAGTTTTTGATAGAACTCGTCGAGTACTATAAGAAACGCAACTCAGAACTACTCGGTACTCCCAAAAAATTTTTACTTCAAATTTTTTTCTAAGTCCCACGTCGGAAAATTTGTTGAGAGTACCGAGTAGTTCTGAGTAGCGTTTCTTATAATTCTCGACGAGTTCTATCGAAAACTGTAAGGGGGAAAAGCGAAAAAATTGTTGATCTTCTGACAAATGTCGCTGTATCTTGCAAACCGTTGGTCCAATCGCTTCACCTTACAGTTTTTGATAGAACTCGTCGAGTACTATAAGAAACGCAACTCAGAACTACTCGGTACTCTCAAAAAAATTTTCAAAGATTTCTACTATTTTTTTTAAACTTTATTATATTTCAAAAATGTTTTTTATGTATCAAGAACTCTAGGTATTCACAAAATACTTCTGTTAAGCTGATCAGAACTATGCGACCTTGAATTTCGTTAAAAAGTTAGCACCCCATTTTTAAAAAATGTAAAAAAAATGTTTATTGAGCGGAACTCTTGTTATTAACTATAGGGAACTCTTTGTCTCGTCAAAAGGAAGTGGGAACTCTAATCAGAACTCCTGAGTACTATAGTTGGGGTGCTAACTTAACATACCCTGGAGTCTATTATATTTTAGTGTAAAATTCGAAAATTCAGAAGCTAAGAAATAAAATTAAATTTCAAAACGTAATTTTTTACTAACAATTTTGAATACTCACAATATAATCACGAGCTCTACACATGAATTCAGAGGTGTTGTTTTGAGGAGAGAGACTGTCTTTGGGATATATCAATTCACTATTTACGATCCAGTTACCCTGTACCAGCATAGCTACTTGCTGCAAATACCTAAGTATTGTTGTCGTATCATGCTCTGATAGAATTTCGCATAACTTTGCAAAGGATATGACTCTCACTGTAAAAAATTAAGTTGTTTCTATAAAATCTCTATGTGTAATATAAAAATCTTAATTAATGTTTAATTTATAAAATCAACGTTTATGCTAACACAAAAAATCAACTCTTATATGTTTCTAAGTATGTGTCATTAAAAGACAAAAATTTGTTGTACAATGTACATTTTGTTTCCTGTTTCTTGCTTTTTTGTTATTTTTTACGTCTTGTTCTTTTGCCTCTTATTTTGTTTAACGTTTTTTATTGCAAATAAAAGTTAACAAACTTTGGAAGAAACAAAAAATACAAGGCAAAAAATATAATTGTTAATAAAATGGTTGCAAAAAAAAAACAGCAAAAGGTAAAAAGCAAGAAACAGGAAACAAAGAGCACATTGTAGAATAGGCTTTATATATAGAAATATAAAAATGTTTTTTTTAATAAAAACATCATGATTTTAAAGATATGTAATATTAAATATATACATATGTATTTTTATATCTTTCTTTTTTTCATCTTAAAGTGTGATTTTCTCACCTTGTTTCATGATTGTTCTAATTTGGTCTAGCAAAGGCAAAGTTAAAATGTGATGAAGATCTATCTGATCCTCGGAGGTGGATTGCAAATAGCATTCATCAGGTGTCTGGGGTACCAACAGTTGCAAATAATTTATCTGATCCAAATTCAGATTATTTATCGATTCTTCCGATGAGCAGAACATCTCCATCCGTGTTGACTACAAAAACAACCGAGTATTTAATATTTTAATATGTAAAAATAATATGGGATAAAACGTACGTAAAATATGTTGTTGCATTTATTTTATTTGTTGCACTCACAAAATAGCGTCTTATTATATTTAGTTTGGATTTGTACTGAGGATGACTCAATAAGAGTCGAAATGTATACTAATTATGATTGAATAAATGTTATTTACGAATTCTAATTTATTCAAAAGACAAATTGATTAAAATTGCGTACCAATAACAACGCAGCATTCTCATTCGCCCTTGAGAACTATAATTTTGTAAAATATGTTGTTGCATTTAAATATAGCTATGTTTGTAAGAAATGAACTAAAATCCTTTTGTCGGGCTGTGTGGCTCCGCGTTCGAACGTCCAACATTTTTTCTCGGCCCAACTCTTACATGCTAATTATACTTTCCTTTTTTTTTTTAAACAAAAATTATTAACTTCATGATTATATCGAGATAACCTACCTCAGCTTGCTCATCGTAAGCCGATATGTACTTTGTATGTATCCAACGCTCTTCCTGGCTCTTTCTGTGGTGATGTTGGAAAGATTGTTCCTGCAGTTTCTTCACGTTATCTGGCAGATGCCTAGCGAATGTTACCTTCACCGGAATGGGATTATTTTCCTCCTCGTCATCGTCTGCATTTTAGCAAATGAATTTGTGAGTGTTTCTCATTCGCTTATGCCAAGCTCTAGAGGTTTAACACAGGCTATCTCGGTAAATGTATTCATGTACAAGTCAGGAAGGAAAAATCTCTTTTACCTTCTCCAGTGTTCTTCATCCCATTCCTGTCATTTTCGTCTAGATAATCACATTGCAGCTTCATTTGCAACATTGTCTTCAATGGTGTGATGTGTAACTCGTCATCCTGAAAGATCCCGACTGCGAAATTTGAGCAATCCGACAACGTCCGTTCTGAAGTTAATACAACCTTATCCATCAGTTCTCTAAGAAAAAAAAAAAAATTTTTTATAAATGTAAATTAAATTTCTACCAAAGATTGTTTAAAATTTCATAATCACCCATCAAACACTATTTCATCATTTTCTGTAGATTTTCCACTTGTTTTTAAAGCTAACTGCTTTCCCATGGCGCAATCGTAAGAATGTTTGTTCAATGTATCCATTGAAAGTTCCATACGAATTTTCTGGTTTTCAGGTTTAATGGAAGTCTTCAAGAAGGTAGCATTGGGATAATTGTCTTTGACATATGCAGGGTATTGAATAATAAATAATTTATCCGCCAAAGTCTTGGAAAGGTACACTGGTATCTGTATAAACCATTTCTTTTATTATTCTTACAGATAGAAAAAATATCAGATGTACAAATAAATAATTCAGTATTTTTTATAAAATCTTGTAGACACTGTTATAGACAAGAAAGAGTACAAGCTATTGTAAAGTGACTACTTTTTAAGTTCTGAAACACAATAGAACTGTGTTTGGAAAGTGCACTATTAGTGCTATTTATGTCATATACTATCCTTGTTTCACATCTAATGGACAATGAAGATAAATTGATATAAATAGAAGTATATAATAGCATTTTTCTGAACTGAGCTTAGGTGTAGTAAGCGGTGAGCATAGACTCTTGCATAATGCATAACACATAAGAAATACAATCAATCAGAATTCTTTATTTCATGGAAAGGAAGGAAACGGAGAGCTCTGATTGATAAATTTTCTTATGCTTTACATGTAATGTATTATGCAAGAGTCTGTGCTCCCTATCTTATTCTTACAGCGTTTTCTCTTGGGATATACCAGGATACACTAAGTAACCTTGCACTATACCAATTACGTGCAAGTGCTGCACCAGTGCTGCACTATACTATATAAATATATATACACTAGTGGACATACACCATGGTATACACTGGGTACCTTCCAACAGGCGATATAGATGACACAATGTGACACAGTACATCAGTATGCTCTTATTGTTTACCAATGTTAAACAAGGATGAGATGATTCCTGTGTCATACTGTGTTGCTTATTGGAAAAAAAGGCACCCACTACTTCATGCTATCGTGTTTAATCATATTGCCGGTTGACTTCCATTTTCAAATTTTAAATGTTACACTGGCTCTACACTATCCTTTTGAGATTGTGTAGCAAAATCCTACTTCATACATAAAATTTGCACTACACTATAGCCATGAAATTTAAATGTTATACCAAATGAGTTTGTCTACCACCAGCCAAGGAAACACACTACTGTCTGAGTGTTACGTTGGTGGGCGATAATATAGCCAAGAGAAAACGCTACTAGTTATGCACACTGGAGTCTCAGAAATCCCAGTGCATTTGCTAAATCAAGATTTTTTCGTTTTTGAACTTTTCTTTTTCTTTGAATTTATATATATCTTAAAACTTCTTCATTCTATCGACTTCAACATTATAGGCTTGTTCCTTAATCAATTCTCTTAATTGAAAAAAATTAATTAAAATATGTTCATTTTTATTAAAGTTATACTAACAAATATGGATAGGGTCTCAGAGATCCAAGTATGTATACCAAGTAAAAAAAACAATATGTATAGCTATAGAGTTAATTTTAACAAATTAATCAATTATTTTTCTTACATTCGACTGTGACTAATGAATTTCTTAAGGTTTAAATCTATTGATTTGAGTTTACTAGTACAGTTTACTGAATCAGTGACTTTACAACTTACACTATTATGAATTTTACTGTTTTATATATAAAAGAAGGATAGAAGTGTTGAAAGCAGTCAAACAGGACACATATATTGAATTAATTGTTTTATATTATATAAAAATTTAGAAGTGGAGCAAGTGTCTCTTATCCCCCTTGTGTTACATCCATGACTAAAATACGTAACTTGTCCTGACTGCTAATACGCGCGTCAGGACGAACAGCTGGGACATCCAAAATCGCAGGACCGCTGAGCGGATTTTGTGTAAACGCAAGACATAGTCTAAGTCGGCAACACTTTTCAAAAGTATGATAAAAACACTCGAACTAAGACGCGTCCGCCTTAGATAAGTGATGCAACAAGACTATTGTCATTTGTCGTGTGAACATTTACTAGGAGAAGTCAGGAAAGTATTGGAAAAATAAGGGATTATTTTCATATAAAAAAATAATTAATTATTTATTTGTGCATTTAAACTCTAAAACGAGAAATAATTTGTATGTTTATAATAAAACCGGTCTTTTAAATCTAAATAAATTATTAAAAAAAAATATTATACAGACATTTTTTAGCAGATCTACTTAATAATTTCTTTCTTAGAGACACATAAAATACATGAGTTTAAAACGAGAGAAATAGAGGTCATCATACTAAATGTTAACAGTAAGTTTTAAACCACGTGTTCAGAAGCAATAACTAACCTAAAGAAAACTCTTAACGTTAAATAATCTTATTGAGAGCGAGTAAAACAGCAAAAAGTGAAATCGGTATATATAACACTAACCTCTTTCACAACGGGATCATCTATTTCCGTAGTATCCATCGTTGCTATTTTTCATCCAAATAATTCTTCAACTTTTGATATTTTATGATAATGCATGTGTACGAAACATCTTTCGGAGCTTTTCGAATAATTTAAATCGAAATATACTTATCTGCACGACATCCTCGAACAAACACGAGCAAGTGAGAAATGGGATAGAAAGAGAGAGGGGAAAGGGGATAAATTGGGATAAGTTATTGATAATAGCAGAGAGAAGAGAAGCCTGAGAGCGGCCATGCCCGGGATTTAGCTGTTATTTTATTTTGAAGCGCCTCTATGTCCACAAAACGTGGACATTGAACTATGTAGCTAATGTCTACGATCGTGTCGGTAATATCCACGATTTTTTGGTTCGAATCTTCGCCAGGCTTCTCTCTGTTAGTACAGACACGCATCACATCCTTATTTGACACTATGATTTTATCGACAGTTTCGCCATGCAGAATGGGTATCTAGTTCCCATATCACAAAAATGAACGCTAGCAATATACTGTGACATGGGTTGTATATGGAGCCTTCCACTCTTCTTCTCCCTATTCTTTCGCTTCTGTCTGATTGTCTGGTTGCTAGCGATATTTGAATTTGTTTAAAAAAACAAAAATAAATAATTTGTAATAAAGAAAAATGTCTTTAGCTGATGAACTTCTTGCTGATCTTGAGGAAAATGACGATGCGGATGCTTTTATGGAGGAGCCGGAACCACAATTTATTCCGACTTCAGTTTCTAAAGTCTTAGAAGAAGGTTATATTATTTGACAGCATCTCTGTTGTACAAAATACAAATTGTTCTTATAGAATTCTGTTGTTTTATCCAGTATAATTTACATTATGTATTTACATTATTTTTTTTTATACTATATTTCTAATATTACAATATATGTATTTGACATAATATATATTTAACATATTCTGTATTTATATTATATTAATTTTGTTTTATATATCATTATTATACTGAGCAACTATCAAATATTCGTTTTTTCTTTGTGTAGAGATAAAGGTGTCCTCTGTTCGAGAGTTGGCCCAGTTACGAGATTCAGAACAGTTGCAGCAAGTTATGTTACAGATTGAAAAGCATAGTAAAATACCTAGGAAGTCAACTGATATTGTAGGACCTGTGGAATCTGATCCAGAATATCAGTTAATAGTTGAAGCTAATAATATGGCAGTAAAAATTGACAATGAAATTGGTAATTATATAAGGTTACAAAATAATATATAATAGATGTTTTAATTAAAATTTCATCTTTTATTTAGCTTGATTATTAACCTCATTTTGTTATAGATTGTTTTGCATAACACAAGCGAATTTTTTTACTTAACATCATTTATTATACTAACATCATTTTATTATACTATTAAAATTAGATAAAAAAATAATATATAATGATAATATAAACTATATAATATATATATTAATACTATAATAATATAAAATACTATATAAAATAATTATAAAATTTGTAGAAGTAATGCTAATCACATTTTCATATTTTTCAGCTATTATACACAGATTTACAAGAGACAAATACTCGAAAAGATTTCCAGAATTAGAATCCTTAGTTGTAGGACCATTGGAATACGTAATGACTGTTAAGGAATTGGGCAATGACCTGGACAGAGCCAAAAACAATGAGATTCTACAACAGTTTCTTACTCAAGCTACAATCATGGTTGTTTCTGTGACTGCATCAACCACTCAAGGGTAACAGTTAGATGCATAGACTCAAATATTTTTAATTTTAAATTTTTAGAAAGCAAAACTTTTTGTTCGACATCCTTATGTTCAAGTAATGAATAATAATATTAAAAAAGATAAAACTTGAGGAATTTTTTTAACTAATTAAGGGAATCCCCTAAAGTGAGTCTGTTTTTTCAAATAAGTATTTTTCTACCTGCCTTTACAGATTTTAAAATTCTTCACAATTACAGTTTAAACGACAATGTAGTCCAAATTGATCAACTTTATATCAAAAACAAATAAATTGGAAAATTACAGTTTTTTTTACTGCTTTTTAACATTGACTCTTAATGTTTGCTTTATATATATCTTTTATACTTCGTACATATTATATAAACACTCTTGATTTAGACTAGAGATTACATAAATATACAATATTGACTACTTGGAATCATAGGTTTAGATACTTAATATGAAAGATTAATTAGTTGGAAAATGTATGCGTACGCGCGTGTAGTAGTATGTAAAGATATGTCGATGTGTTGCAGTTTATCATTAAAACAGCCATCTCATCAGAATTCAGGCTTTATTTTAGTTTTCCCTTAAGAACAGAGAATGATTGATTGTATTAGTTTTCGTAATTAATGTACAATTATTTCTTTCCAATTTTTAAATCTGTTCTTACATACAGTCAGTTGTTGACAGAAGAGGAGAGAGAAGCTATTTGTGAAGCTTGCGATATGGCAGTGGAATTAAACAATTGTAAATCAAAGATATTTGAGTATGTAGAAAGCAGAATGGCATTTATTGCACCAAATTTATCGATAATCGTTGGTGCATCCACAGCTGCCAAGATTATGGGTATTATTCTTTATACAAAATTATAAATATACATTAAAGATAAATGAATTTTACATTGTCATAAATTTCTTTAATTCAGGTGTTGCAGGTGGTCTGACAAAGCTTTCTAAAATGCCAGCTTGTAATCTTCTAGTCCTTGGATCCCAGAAGACCACATTATCTGGATTTTCACAAGTTGCCACCTTGCCTCATACGGGTTTTATATATTACTCTGAAATTGTACAAGAAACTCCTCCCGTAAGTTTATTTGTTTTATTAATTAAAGCATATACATAATAAAAATTGCAGATAGAAATGATGCATTACAATACAGATTTAACATGCACATTATAGGATCTACGAAGAAAAGCTGCAAGACTAGTGGCATCGAAAAGTATGTTAGCTGCTAGAGTAGACTCTTGTCATGAAAGTACTGATGGTCACATTGGACAGATGCTGCGCGAAGAGATTGAGAAGAAACTAGACAAGCTACAAGAACCACCACCTGTAAAATTTGTGAAGCCACTACCAAAACCTATTGATCCTGGTCGAAAGAAGCGCGGTGGCAAACGCGTTCGTAAGATGAAGGAACGTTACGCGATTACAGAATTCAGGAAGCACGCAAACAGGATGAACTTTGCAGATGTAAGTTATAAAGAGTGTTCCTGAATTTGTAATTTATAAGATATCTCAGAGAATGTATTGTTAGAAATAATGTTAAGCTTGTAAAATATTAACAATGATAAAAGATCAAAAATTAATTAGACGAACGAGTAAAATATAAATAATATTGAATTCTAAAGACTGTCAATGTAATAACGTAATTAATACGAATACGAAGTCTATAATAGTCTAGCTTGGATCTTAGTTGCTTATATAATATATAATTTCGCGTGAATTTATATACTGATATATGTAATCTCTCTAAACTGCGCGCCGAATAATTATCGGTATTGAATCGCAACTCTAATAAACTACCACAGTATTATCACGAATTAAATTGACTAACAATTTAATAATTAATTGATGCTCTTTTGGCATCTTATATTGATGTTAAACTATATTAAAATCTGAAAATAATAATTCTTATTCCGAAAAATATTACCTCGGCTGGGAGTCGATTTAATTCGTGATAGTACTGCGGTAGTTTATTAGAGTTGCGTTTCAAGACCGACAATTGTTTGGCGTGCAGTTTAGAAAGACTATATATATCAGTATATAAATTCATGCGAAATTAAAATATAAGTATATGTATATGATGTTCATTAGAAAAAACTTAAAAATACAATTTAAATGTTAAAATTATTATTGTGACTGTAGATTGAAAGTGACGCCTACCAAGAAGATCTTGGCTATTCAAGAGGGACGATTGGTAAGGCTGGCACTGGTCGAATCAGACTGCCGCAGATTGACGAGAAGACAAAAGTTAGAATATCCAAGACACTCCAGAAAAATCTACAGAAGCAGCAGCAATGGGGAGGTAGCACCACCGTTAAGAAACAAGTCTCAGGAACTGCTTCCAGTGTGGCTTTTACTCCTTTACAAGTATATTTCTGTTTCTTTTGATGTTTTACGACTACTAAACATTAAGTATACGAATGGAAAATAATTTTTTGTTTCTTTTTTTAAACGATTGTTTGTGTATGCAGGGTCTTGAAATCGTCAATCCGCAAGCTGCAGAGAAAAAAGTGAACGAGGCAAATGCAAAGTACTTTTCCAATACAGCTGGTTTCCTAAAAGTCAAGAAAACGTAAATGTATATTGCAAATAAATGTGGGAAATTGTATATTCGATTTTTGACTGTAAGTATTAATTATTTGATTTATTAAGCAGAGTTAAAATATGGATGGATAATAATCAACTACTAAATAAAAAAAGTACCTGTGATCTTGCAAATGATTATGAGTCTACAATGGAATATATATATCGCTTATCGCTGCGGTAAAGATTGATATCCTTAAAAAACCAATTTATTCCTCATTTTCTTTGAATTAATATGTATATTTGTTCACGGATTACCCCATGTAACAAAAATAACTTTTTTCAAATATGAAAAAATTAATGTGTCCATGAAAGTAGAAACAAAATCTATCATAGAAATGCATTCTATTTGGCGAAATTTCATGTTTTTTATGCACATTTTTTATGAAGTTTAGAGGAGTTAATTTTAGTTGCAGTGTAAGATTAAGAAATTGTATAATAATCTGAAAATCATGTATTTTCATGTAAAATTTATTGCAAAATTCGAAAACAAAATTGTTTAAAAAAGTGCATTTGTAGTAAACAACGCTCAAATTTTTCAAATTTCTTTTTTAAATATCTATTTTCATAAACATCGATTTTTTTGTATATAAAAAATGTTGCATAGTGTTAATGGTTAGATAATAAGAAAAGATAAGAATTAGGTGGGTATAGATCTGAGGAGTGTAAATTGTAGGATACCACAATTGCTCAGTAAAAATTTACTGTCTTATTTTCTTATTAGTTTTTAATTAATAACTTATATT